AACTGGTTGAGTTAATGGGATATACAGAGGAGTACAATACAGCCATTAAAATGATGTGTTGAGAGAATACTTACAGCAGGAAAATGTTTACTGTATACTAAGTACAGAAAGCAAGTTACGAGGCTAAAATATACAGTTGAGCTTCCCTTTAATGAAAATATAGGGGTATGTGAGCAGAAAGTGAAGAATGACACATCTTGTTGAGTGATAGTGTATGCTTGGTCTGTCTGATTTTGCTTAGATGGACTTTTGTCCTATAAGTAAGTATATGTTGCTTTTAGAATAAGGAAAAATATACATTATAATTTTGCAAAAGCTGACCCAGAAGGAGACTGTAGACTTGCATCCTGTTGTGGAGTGCAGAAGAAAGGGAAGGAAGCATCCGAGGAGATGGAGCCTTGCTCTAAAGCCAAGACTGTGTCCCCGCCTCATTGAAGGGGTACCTGCTGGGAGGAAAGCAGCGTGACCTCTGAGAAGCCTTCGTGTCCAGTGAGCTGAATCAATAGTGCCCACACCTGGGGACGTGGGATGAAGACAAAGAGGAAGAGCTCAAGAAGGGACCGATCTTGGAGGCAAAGGGAAGGAGGAGAAGGGACAGGGACTCCCTGACCCCAAGAGACTCATGACCACAGACAGCCCTCAGTAAGACCTGCCTGTAAGAAGGAAACAGTGACACCCTATGCAGTTGTCTTGCACCTGCTCCTAGTGTGCAGGCCAGGACCTGCTGCCAACACCGTCAGAACCAGATATGACGTACTTCCTCTGATTGGCAGGTGTCCCCAGAGATTAAGTTCTGATTCCTGGCCCAGCCCCCAACCATATGAAGCAGAGCATCTGGGGGTGAGGTCCCAAATCTCTGCCTTTTAGAAATCTTCTCTGTTCAAGTTCAGTAGGACATGTGCACCACAAGCCTCCTTCCCAAAGGTGTCCTTTGCACACGGTAAGAACAGACTTCAATCGGAAGCAGCTTTAAATAGAACGACTGGATGTGATAAGGGCGGGACGTGGAGGGAATGCATCTTGGGATCCAACTTGTCCAGGGCTTGTGTGTGCCCTGGGAGCCTTTAGAACTGGGCTGTGGATGGTGAGCAAAGAGGGGCAGCTTGCTGGAAAAAGTTCAGCATGCTTCCCATGCTTCAAGGCTGAGGGTGGTACAGTGCGCCTACTCCGGGACACCAAGCCACAGGAACATTCAGTCACAGGGCTACTTGGGTAAGAAGGGCAAAAGCTGCCAGACGTTGGTTAGGATCAGAGCAGCCCACATATGGGCCTCTTGCTGAGAAGCTGATACGGATTTTCAGAGACCAAAAGGTCCTCCTGGAACATTCTGGGAGAGGTGATTGTTTTCCACCCCCATGACCAACAATGGATAGACAACTTGTGCCAGGTCTTCTTATGGCTCCTAAAGGCTCGCCGTCCCTCTAGTAGGGGGATCACCCTGCCCACTGTGGACCTCAGCCTCAGTCACTCAACTTGCGTAGTGCAACTGATTTGCCATTTACCTGCAAATCTAACATGTCATTCTGCCACCTTTCCTTACCTTTTCCTCAGGACCAACAGATCCCAGACTAGAGCTGTCCATTATGTCAGGGACCCAGGATGAAGCACAGGACATAGACCCTGGGTGTGGGAGCAGCAGTTATCAACAGTGGATTTAGCCAGTTTCTGAGTGAAAAACCCAGCCTTTGATAACTGCAAAAACAGCATATTGACATTGTTGGAAGTGACCCAGTAATGTATTTGCATGAGAACTTAGCTTCAGTATAGCTATGATGTCAGGACTCAGTCTCCAGCAACAACTACAAAGCAGGCCAAGATAAAAATAGACAAAAACAGGGCCTGGCACGATAGTGTGGTTAAAAGTCCTCACCTTGAACATGCCAGAATCCCGTATGGGTCTTGGTTCTAATCCCAGTAGCCCCACTTCCTATCTGTGTGGGAGACCCGGAAGAAGCTCCTGGCTTCGGATTGGCTCAGTTCCAGCCGTTGCGGCAACCTAGGGAATGAACCACCTAACGGACGATCTTCCTCTCTGTCTCTCCTCCTCTCTGTATATCTGCCTTTTCAGTAAAAATAAATAAATATTTTAAAAAACAAAACTAATGAGCTTGCTTAGTCGAGAGGAGTAGAGTAAGTTCTTTGTGCAAGAACTCAGATGTGACACAGAGGAATGATAAGCAAGACAGCGAGGTTTAATGGGGTAGGACAGCACTCAGATCAGATAGGCACCTGTCCAGACGGGATCAGAGTGTCCAGTTTACATTCAGACCTCCCCCTGCCCTGCCCCACTGTTTCTCCTCCCCGTTCTTTCATCTTCCTGGGCAGAAGACTAACAGTGAATTAGATACAATTCCTACTGAGATTCACTGACTAGCATTATCAGAATGGGTAGCCTCACCTGGTGCCAGGCAGCAGTGGTCCCCTTGGGGAAAGGCTGTGAAAAATTGATTTTCCGATGTTCCTGGGCAGCCAGCCTGGTCCAGGAGTCAGCATAGAACCTACTGTGGCTGCTCAGTGAGGTAGAACTTGGCAGAGCCGTTCCTCTTGGCACAAGCCAGCCTGGATGCTATTCCTGCCTACCCTGCTGCGGCAAGGTCCAGTGTCAGCCCTGACCTAGACCTTCCAACTGTGATTCTCTGTGCTAACACTGACGATGACCTGCCTGGGCTTTGAAGCAGTGAGGCCCTGCTTCTGTGGAGCTGGGGTCTACAGTCCAGTGGGCAGCACATGGCCAGATAGACCCTGCCTAGCAACTCTGTTGCTCTGTCCCTCCTCCTAAAGCCACCAACACTACTACCGTCATAATCTCATTTAATCCCACCTCCCCAGGCCTCTGCCAAGCCATAAGATAAGAATTTGAGTATTTAATTTCATCTCTTTTTTAAATGTTAAAGATTTATTTATTTCTTTAAAAGACAGTTACAGATAGAACTTCCATCCACTTGTTCACTCCACAAACGGCTGCCAGGACTGGGACTAGGGGGCAGGCTGACACCCCACACTTGGAATTGCATTGAGGTTTCCCACGTGGGTGCAGGAGCCCGGGCACTTGGGCCATTGTCCATTGTCTTCCCCGGCTGAGTAGCAGGGAGCTGGATTGGAACTGGATTGGAACTGGGGCAGCTGGGATGCAGACTGGTGCTCCAGTACGGAATGCTGGGTGTCTCAGGTGGAGGCTTCACCACTGGGCCTTATTGACTGGAGTTGGGGGGGCCATCCAGCGTTTGCCTCAGGAACTAGTGGACCCCCATTTCAACCATAACAGTGTATTCACATCACTGTGTCACTTTCTAATCTTGCAAAAGCCAAAATCATAAGCTTTTATTATTTTTTTTAATTTATTTTTTTAATATAAATTTTTATTTCGACATTCTTTACATAGTTAATTAGGGTAAGAAGGTTCAAGAGCTACAGGGAAGTGGATAATACTAGTATGTTTTCCATATTGTTACCTTCATGTTTAAAGGGGGGTATTAAGGAAGAAGGCCCACCCAATTTCCCACCCTCCCCAGGTCCCGGATGTAGGGCATGCTCTGAGGTTCTTGCTCAAGTGGTTTTGATATTGCAACAGTTATGAATTGCTGTCAATCTTGCCACTCCAAGCACTATGAGGTCTTTGAAAAATTCACTGATTGACATAGTCCATCATAGCTGAGATGGTTGGTGGACCTGTTCTGTCTTCTCTTTTCTTCGTTAGGGTTCTGAGTCCAATAAGCTTTTATTTTTAAAGATTTGTTTTTATTGGAAAGGCAGATCAGATTTACAGAGAAGAGACAAAGATCTTCCATCTGCTGGTTCACTCCCCAAATGGTTGCAAAAGTCAGATCTAAGCTGATCCAGAGCTTCCTCTGTGTCTCCTGCGCTGGTGCAGGGTGCTAAGCAGCCATCCTCTGCTGCTTTCCCAGACCACAAGCAGGGAGATGGATGGGAAGTGGAGTAGCCAGGACATGAACCAGTGCCCATAGGGGATCCCGGTGCTTGCAAGGTGAGGATTTAGCCATTGAGCCATCACACCAGGCTCCAAATGTTAAGGGTTAAACCACTCCCCCATTCCTGCTTCCCCCAGCCCCTGGCAACCACCAAGGCACTCTGTTTCTAGGGGGCCGCTGTGCACAGAGGCCAGATTTTCCTTACGTGTTCATCCAGAGGCAAGCCCAGGTTGCCCTCACCTCTTGGCTGCTGTGTAGGATCTGCTGTGAACACCGTGTACAAATCCGGAGCCTCAGGTTACCAGGTGAGGATGTTTTGTGGAAGGGCACTTGGGGACGCTGTGGAATAAGACCCAGCCACAATCCCGCCGGGCTTCACAAGTCTTCCTGGTTTCCTTAGAACACTGCCCGTCTCCCTCTTGAAGCATCAAGGCGCGTTTGTCTCCAGGTAGGGGGAGAGGGTCCCCGGGGGCAGCTTCCAGCCCCAGCAGTGGCAGGAGAGGAGAGGCCACGAAGGGAGCACGGCGCCAGCCACGGTGGGAGGTGCAGGTAGTCCCCGCGGCCCACCGGGGCTTTGGGGCGGGAGGTGCATGCTTGAGTTTCTATTCCCGGCCGTGCAAGGCCAAACGTTTATGGCTGTTTGAAGAGGGATGAAAGCGTTTCTGTACACTATGCTAGAGTTTGCGAAGCCTCGTTGAAAAACAGGAGCCCACAGCAATGCTTGAGTGACTTTGGCAAAGGAAAGGAATGCAGAGTGAGGAGCAAGCGCTCGCAGCGGTGGGACCTGGAGACCCGCAACCCCGTAGGCGGTGCGCCCGCGGCTTCCAGGGGGTTGGCAGGGGAAGCGGAGGGTCCGCGGGCTGCGGCCCGGGCCGGCGCCCCTCGCCTCGCCGCTGGCCGCCGCGCCCCAGACATTCCGCTCCCGCCGCCGGAATGCACCGGCCGGACTCCCCGGGCGCCGCGGGCGGACCCGGGGCGGGGCGAGGGGCGCCGGGGCGGGACCCCCGGCCGCGGGCCCTTTAAATTGTCCAGCTCCGCGCGCGCCCCAGGCCAGTGCTCGCCTTGCCCACCATGCCCCTTCCGTGCCTCCTCCCGCTGCTCTGGACTCTTCCGACGCTGCTGCTGCTGCCGCCGCCGTGCCATCCGGCCCCCGGCCCCCTGACCCAGTCGGGCTCCCGGAGACTGGGGAGCCGCGGGCCCGCGGGCAGCCCTGCACCCGCGGCATCTCCTCCCGCGCCGTACTCGGCAGGTATGGGAAGGCGGCCCGGCCGAGGGCGGCCGACTGGGCTGGGCTGGGGGCGGTCAAGGAAGCGGGAGAGTCGCGCATCCTTCGCACATCGGCCCCACTCCTACCTGGCCTCAAACTCGGGCTCCCCATCCTCGAGATCGGCCTCTTCGCCTCGTCCCGTTTATTTCTCCCGTCTTCCCTCGCCCTTGTCCAGGATTCAGCGGGGGTGTCCTTCCCCTCGCCGTGCCCTCTGGTGCTCCAGGAGACCCGGCTTGGAGGGTGGGCGTGGGGACCAGGGAAGAGGCCGGGAAGGAAAGCCGAGGAGTCCGCTGCTGACTGCTGTCCTGGAGCCGTCCTGGAGGACAGCTCAACCCCGTCCTCCTCTTCCTCCTAATCAGCTCCAGAGTCCCTTAAGATGCCTTGGGTTCTTTGCCGACCATTGCTTCTCCGTCTGTCATTGGTTTCTGAGATTGGCAGAGCGAAGCTCTCAAGGCGGCTCAGCTGTTAGGTCTAGAGGTTTGAGGCTTGTCACAGCCAAAACACCCGCAAAGCAGGACCTGAGCCCCGAGAAAAGCTCAGGGCTCCCAAACCCCACACGAGGGCTCTTGGCAGCGCTTCAGCCTCCCAGCCAAGGGAGATTCTGTTTTCCCTGCCCAAAGACCAGCTGCTGTGTCTCTGGGAGAGGCTGCCCGCACTCCGACCCTGGCGGTCCAACGCATCAGGATGCTGCGCGCGTGCATCAGGTTGATTGGCAGGTTCTGTTCCTCCTGCATGTTTCTGGCCCAGCTGAGAAGGAGTTTAAGGGAGAACCACTTGCCATCATCAGTCAGTCTCAGTGTTTGAAGAGGGGAAAGCAGCTGAAGCAGGGGCTGGGGCTGAGAAGGGGAGAAGATTTGACTGTGGCCAGGGCGGGGGAGTCTCCCTCCTTCTGGAAATGAACTTTACCTTATTCCTGCCCAAGTCCCTCAGAGATGCGACCCTGCCCCAGTGGTCTTGTCGTTTCCTTGTGAGAGCCTTTCCCTGTCTTGGATACCAATCCCTTCATTCACAGCACAGTCCACCCACTTTGCATACTCTCCTGTGTCAGCGGGGAGAGACTGAGCTGTGAGCTCTTGCTTCTAGCAGCACTGAGGGAAACTGGTGATGGTGTGAGTATGGAAACCCTTTCTCACCTTTTCTGCTCTTGAGAATTCAGTTACTGCTGTTTGGTAAATGGGAGTGAGATTCAAAAATAACTCACCTGGGCTGGCGTTGTGACACAGAGGATGAAGCTGCGACTTGTGGCCATGGCATTGCCTGTCAGAGTACCAGTTGAGTCCTGGCTGCTCTGCTTCCAATCCAGCTCACTGCTAATGCACCTGGGAAGGGAGAAGGTGGCTCAAGTGCTTGGGACTCTGCTAGTCCCATGGGAGACCCGGATGGAGTTCCTGGTCCCTGGTCCAGCCCTGCGCCTTTGAGTCTATTTGGGGAGTGAAGCAGTGATTTAAATATCTTCTTTTCCCTCTGTTTCCCCATCCCTGCATCTGTCACTCTGCCTTTCAAATAGACATCACCCCTCCTCTGCGCGATGGGACCTTGCTCTGGATCCACTGGAATCCTTCCTCTCCTTCCATCGAGGACTTCATCACACCTGGAGGGTCTCTTTGCTACATGAGCTAACCTGTTGACACTGACGGGGGCGTTTTGTGCCTCCTGCCTCCTGTGTGTAGCCCCCTGATGAGAGGGTTCAGTGTGGAAAACCAAGAGTGAAGAAAGGACCCGTGCGTGTGTGACTGGAACAGCACAGGTGTGAGCTCTTTAAGGCTCTCTGGCTCTCAGAGCATTGGCCATCCAAGGATTTGTTTCATCACCCCCCCCCCTTTTTTTTTAAGATTTATTTTTATTATGTTTTTATTGGAAAGGTGGATATACAGAGAGGAGAGACAGAGAGGAAGATCTTCCATCTGATGATTCACTTCCCAAGTGAGCGCAACGGCCCATGCTATGCCGATCTCAAGCCAGGAGCCTCCTCTGGGTCTCACACGGGTGCAGGGTCCCAAAGCTTTGGGCTGTCCTCGACTGCTTTCCCGGGCCACAGGCAGGGAGCTGGAAGGGAAGCGGGGCTGCTGGGATAGAACCGGCGCCCATATGGGATCCCGGGCATGCAAGGCGAGGACCTTAACCACTGCGCCACTGCGCCGGGCCCAAGACCCCCTACCTTTTACGCCAATTCCAGGACAGGCTTTTTACCCAGTTCTTCCTTGCTCCTGATCCATGGGACTCTCAAAGGCTGCTTTAAGGAAAGATTTAAAATTCCCTTGGTCTTAACTAAGTACATGACATATAGCATACTTCTTGGTGGTGGCCCAAGGTCAATATGAGTTGGTGTTGATTTATTTTTTGTGTGTGGTGGAAAATGTGGCCTCACAGATGTGCAGCTTCCATGCAGCACACAGCTCAAGGTTGGGAGTAAAGAAGCCTGGAGCCCCCTCCATGCTCCGTTGCTTTTCAGGCGTCCCATCTGCCTGAAGCTCAGGGTTCTCATCTGTAAAATGGGCATGGAAGCATGTGCAGCTTCCCAGGGCTGTCACGTGGGCACCTGTGGTCACACTGGATGTATGACTGAAAGCAAGCTACTGCTTCCCTAGTGCCTTAAGGCAGTGTGATAAATCCAAGAGTAATTTTCAATTCTTAAAGAATAAATGCCTTTCTTGGGAATAGATTGCCTTCTTGGGGTAGCGTTAGCCCTGATTGACACTTCCTTCCCAAGGATCTCATTTACATTTAGGGTTGGGTGTGTATGTGTGTGTGTGTGTTGAGCAACAAGGGGGAATGGCTTGAGTAAGCAGCTCTCTGGTCCTCATCCAGGGCTTACCAGTTGAGCTGAGAACGGGAGAGAATAGAGGAACACCAAACTCCAGTGTGAGCACAATGTGCCAGGTGCTTTGAGTAGAAAGGACCCACGCACCTTGAGGTTGGCCTCGGGCTGCTTTGCTGCTCAGACTTCTCACACAGAGAGCCCTGCTGAATGGATGAGCAGAAGAGGCAGGAGTGGGGAAAGGGGTGCTGCGGGCTGGCCCCAAGCACAGGACCAGCTGGGGAAGTCAGATGTGGAATAGACGTCTGGCAGATCAAGCTGTGGTCTCTTCACCTTCTGCTTGTTCAGTGCTTGAGTGAGGGAGGCAGACTCTACAGAACAGCTCTGACTGCCATGGCTCCTGCTCAGGGACACTTGATCTCATCCCGTCAAATAGCCCAGGTGCCTGAGAAAGGTCTGAGCTCCATTTACTCCCAGGAGTTGTGAGGAACCTCGAAGGCTGAAGGTCGAAGCGCCTGTAGATGGGGATTGCGGGAGACTCCCTAGCTCTTTGTGCTTGGTTGTCAGGGGCTGCTGAGTGTCAAGGCTTTCAATACCCAGATTGGGGATGGTGCTGGGAATGGGAGCTGCACCCTGCCTAGCATCCTGGCATCTTAGCGTTCCTCTCGGAGTGAGGACTGTCCCGTTGGTCTTATCACCACTTGGCCCTTTCTGCCTCACACCCTTCTTTGCAGGTGTTTGCAAGAGCAGGCCCTTGGACTTGGTGTTTATCATCGATAGTTCTCGCAGCGTCCGGCCCGAGGAGTTCACGAAGGTAAAAACCTTCGTGTCGCGGATCATTGACACCCTGGACATTGGGGAGACTGAGACACGCGTGGCAGTGGTGAACTATGCGAGCACCGTGAAGATTGAGTTCCAGCTCCAGACCCACTCGGACAAGCAGTCCCTGAAACAGGCCGTGGCTCGGATCACGCCCCTCTCCACTGGCACCATGTCGGGGCTGGCCATCCAGACAGCCATGGAGGAAGCTTTCACGGTACAGGCTGGAGCCCGGGGACCCGCTGCCAACATCCCCAAGGTGGCCATCATTGTGACAGACGGTAGACCCCAGGACCAGGTCAACGAGGTGGCGGCTCGGGCCCGGGCCTCTGGCATCGAGCTCTATGCTGTGGGGGTAGACCGGGCAGACAGGGAGTCGCTTAGGATGATGGCTAGCAAACCCCTGGAGGAGCACGTGTTCTACGTGGAAACTTACGGGGTCATTGAGAAACTTTCCTCCAGATTCCAGAAGACCTTCTGTGGTAAGTTGCTGGGTCTTTCTAGGATATTATAGGCAAACATTAGGTACCCAGGGATAAAATAGTTGTATTCATTTTCTCCTTGGTAGCAGTTTTATGGAAAAGTTAAATCTATGCAGTGCTATTTTTCTTTTTTTTTTTGGTTGACCTCTACCAGTTGAAACACAGCTCTGTTGGTGTGTGAGTATAGAGCTGCATTATATGTAACTTGGTTTGCTTGTAAAATCTTCATGTTTGCGTTAGAAGTGGGAAGGCCTGGAAATGTCCAGCATAAATAACCCAGCTGTCTTAAAAAAAAAAAAAAAAACACAACCGAAAAATTCAGCTGTTGCCCTATGAGGTCAGAAAAAAATAAAACAAAAATAAAGATACCGCTCTCAAGTGCCCCTGCCTCTCCAGTGCACTCTCCCCACGCCTCCCCAATATTTCCTTTCACTTCACCCTCGCAAAGTTTAACAGAAGCATGTCAGAACGAGGGAGCCTTGGCTGTCCGTCGGGGACCAGCAGCCTCGGGTCCGGAGCTGCTCTCCGAGGGTACATGCGCAGAGAGGGACTCGCTTCCCAGCTGGGCTCTTTCTCTGATGGTTACCTGTGGATGAACAGGGTCTGAGACGGAGAGGACCGGGGTCAGGCACACTTGTGAGACAGCAAGGAGCAGACTTTGAAAACACGACAATCCTTACGTGAGTCTCTGTGTATGCCTTTGTTCCTTTAGCACAGAGGGTGAAGATGAATATTACTCATCCGGTTGGATTTTTTTTAGCATAAATTAGCCAAATCTATGAATAGACTTGATTCAAGGGCAAAGTTTATTTTCAGTCACTGATTAGAATGATGAAGCGTGGGATTCATGCTTTCTTACTTATCATTTGGAGATATCTTTTTGAAGCCCTCTAATGGAATTATCCGAGGAGGTGTAGATCAATTTTTAGTTCAGGCAAATTTTTAAACAGAGCTATCTTTTTTGCCATATGATTGAGTCCACGTCATGTAACCAGCAAGCACATGCGTGTTCATCGCTGATGATTCGAAGAGAGCTGTAGCGCCTCGCGGCCGTCGAGTAACACTCCTGAGCTGAAGGGGAAACAGCAAGGAGTGTCTGACAACTGTGGCTTTCAAGGAGACATTCCATTGAAATCCATGGGAGACTCCACTGACTGATTTGTAAGGAAATGGAAGAAGAAGTCTTGGTCTGGGGCAAAGCTTGGCTTTGTCTCAGCCAGCCCTGGTTAGGACACTCCTGTCTTGTCGTAGCACACTGGGCTTTCACAAGCTGTCCTTAGCTTTGGTGGCATCTCCTTGGCTTGCATCAGGTTACAAAAGAAAGTGTCTTTCTCCCCAGAAGGCCCCCCATGCTTGCTGGTAGGCCAGAGCCTGGGGAGGCTGGCCTGCGGCAGAGGTGGGTCTAGGAGCCAGCACCTGGGTTTGGGCTTGAAAGCCATAAAGTAACAAGTGGTGAGTCCTTTAAGGTACAAAAGACCTGCTTGTTTGGGGGGAAGAGATGTCTTCCCTGTGCAAAAAAAAAAAAAAAAAAAAGATCCTGTGAAAAGGCCCTTCTTGGGCACCTATTTGCTTTGTCCTTTTGCCAAGGGCTGGGTTACCTGCCTGGGGGTGCCAGCCTCCTCCAACAGCCCTCCTTGGTTCCTCAGACATGACTAAACTCATTGATTCACCTTTTTTTTTTTTTGGTAAGGTGTATCTTTTGAAAGGCAGTTATATAAAGAGAGGGAAAGAAGTAGCAGCAGAGACAGGGATTCATCTTACATCCCCTGACTCATTCCTCCAATGACTGACTGCAGCCCGGCATCTTCCAGGTCTGCCATGTGGGTGCAGGGGCCTGAGCTCCTGGGCAGGACTGCTGTTTCCCCAGGTGTGCCAGCGGGGAGCTGGATTGGAAGCAGAGCAGCTGAGGCTCCAACTGGCACCCATATGGGATGTCAGTGCTGCAGGTGGTGGCTTAACTATGCCACACTGCTGGCCTCTGATTTATCTTTTCAAGTATCTGAGCCGTTTCTTACATGTTGATGCTGTCCCTCACTCCCTTGCACAGCTGTGGACCCGTGTGTGCTGGGCACCCACCAGTGCCAGCACGTGTGTGTCAGCGACGGGGAGGGCCGGCACCACTGCGAGTGCAGCCAAGGATACACCCTGAATGCCGACAGGAAAACGTGCTCAGGTGAGGGGTGCTGGGAGCCAAGGCCTGCTGGAAGCTTCCTGGTTTGAGCACAGTCTCTTACTTAAAAAAAATTTTTTTTTAATTTATTTGAAAAACCAAGTTACTGGGAAAGGGAGAGATCAATTGGTTCATTCCCCCAAATGGCCTCAACTGGCAGGGCTGGGCTGAGCTGACACAAGGAGCCAAGAGTCTCCTCCAGATCTCTCTGATGGGTACAGAGGCCCGAGCCCTTGGGCCACCCTCTGCCTTCCCAGACACACTAGCAGGGAGCTGGCTCGAAGTGGGGCAGCTGAGGCTCCAACTGGTGCCCATGTGGGATGCTGGCATTACAAAGGGTGGCTTACCCCATCACACCGCAACATTGGCCCGTGATTCATCTTTCAATGAAAATCACTAGGAAAAATCTAATCAGATGTAAATGGATCTAGGAGAAAAAAAAATGTACATTGGCTAATTGCATTAATTTTGTGGTTCCCCCTTATTATTTTTTTAAACTTGTTTATGCTTAACACATGATTCCATTCTTACAGACACCAGGGTCTTGCTGTTGCAGACACAGCCATGTGAACTTTGTAACCCACATTGCATTTTCTGGAGGCAGTTCCCTGAACTGTCCTCTACCATTTTCTTGTTCACATGTGTGCAATTCCCGATGTGTGCCTGAGTGGTGGGTCCAGAGGCTCGTGTGTGCGTTGCCTCTGTGTGACACAAATTACTAAACCCTGGGAAACCAGGTTTTGGTTGTAGTGGGACAACTACCTCCTGGTAGTTCAGGCAGGACTTGATGGGTCTCCCTGTTATGTATGCCAGGGAAGCAGATGTCTTTTTCATGGGCAGGTGGATACGCTGGATAAATTGTCCAAGTACGTGATCCATGGATTCATATTCAAAATTCCCTTTCTTCTTTGATAGTCTATAACAGGATCTGTCATTTTAAAATGAGTGACCTTCCTACTTGCCAACTGATACTTCTAAGAAGTCAGAGGTAGAAAATCAATAGTCATAGTTTTTAGTGTGAAGTTAAGAGCATTGGAGAGGAATGTGAAGGCAGAGCCATGTCTGGGAGGCCTGGGATAGTGTTTGAATTGTTACTTAACCGTCGATGCCGCCCCCTACTCCTTTGCACAGCTCTGGACCCGTGTGTGCTGGGCACCCACCAGTGCCAACACGTGTGTATCAGCGACGGGGAGGGCCGGCACCACTGCGAGTGCAGCCAAGGATACACCCTGAATGCCGACAGGAAAACGTGCTCAGGTGAGGGGTGCTGGGAGCTTCCTGGTTTGGGGACAGTCCTTTTGTTAATTTATTTGAAAAGCTGAGTTACTGAGAGATGGGTAGAGAGTGAAAGGGAGGTCGTCCACCAGTTGGTTCATTCCCCCAAATGGCCTCAACTGGCTCACTTATCACGTGCTTTTCCTTTCCACCTGTTCATGTGTCAGCTATCGATAAGTGTGCTCGCAACACTCACGGCTGTGAACACATCTGTGTGAATGACAGAACTGGCTCTTACCATTGTGAGTGCTACGACGGTTACACCCTGAATGCAGATAGGAAAACATGCTCGGGTGAGTGGAGGAGGAGTCTTTGCAGTAGTTCCTTGTCTCTGTACCCAGGGTTGCAAGAGGACATGGCCTGGGGTCTCGGTCTGCTATCTTCTGTTGCCACGTTTGGGCTTTCTAACTTCCTTTTTCTTTAATTGAGAGATCGTTCTTTGCTGGTTTACTTGCCATGTGCCTGCAATAGCTGGATCTGGGCCAGGCCAAGGCAGAGACCTGGGAATTTAATCCATGTCTCCCGTGTGGGTGGCAGGGACCCAAGTACTTAAGGCATACCCTGCGAGGCAACTGATGATGACTTATCAGGAAGCTGGACTAGAAAGTAGAACTGGGACTTAAACCCAGGCCTTTCATATGGGATGTTGGCGTTCCAGAAAGAGTGCTGTTGTGCCAAATGCCTGCCCCTAATAAAAATGCATTTATTTATTTATTCTTTGAAAGTCAGAGAGACAGAGATCCCCCGTTCTGCAAATACCCACCATAGCTGGGACTGGACCAGGCTGAAGCCAGCAGCCAGGAATTCAGTCTGGGCTTCCCATGTGAGTGAGAGAGACTCAACAATTTGAGCCGTTCCCTGCTTTCTAGGGCGTACCACAAAGGAAGGTGGAATTGGGAGCAGACCTGGTACTCGAACCCTGGCATTTATGATAGGGGATGTGGACATTGGCTAGTTTCTTAACCGCTAGACCAAGTGCCTGCCCGTGCTTTTTCTGTTAGGAATGGTTATGCTTGTGTCTAGCTGCTCACTTGGGTAGATGTGTTGCCCCTTTCCTCTGTATTCAGTCTGAACAGCCTTTCTGAATGCCAGTTTAGTCAGTTAAAATCAAGTAACAGCCCACAGGATGCTTATGACTCTCAAAGGGAAAGATAGTGACTTCACAATGGTGAAAACAGGCAGGCGCTGCCTCCACCAGGTGGTCCACGTTAACATTGTCAACGAGGAGGCATGGTGACTTCCAGCTCCGCCTGACAGGAGAGAACACAGCAGCACATTTGTAGTGATCTCGCTAGAAATTTAGAAGCATGAGGAAGCACGGGCTGAGAGCCATCCTACAAAATAATTTTCCAGTGCTTTCCAGATGGGCAGTAAGAAAAGACATAGACTGAGGAAATCTGGGCTTGAGGCTTATGACCAACTGCCACGTGGAAGCCAGCTTGTAAGAGTTTATTTGAAAGATAGAGTTAACAGAAAGGGGAGGGGCCTGGCATCATCGCTCCATGGCTAAATCCTTGCCTTGGATGCACCGAGATCCCATATGGCTGCCAGTTCATGTCCTGGCTGCTCCACTTCCCATCCAGCTCCCTGCTTGTGGCCTGGGAAAGTTGTAGGGGATGGCCCAAAGTCTTGGGACTGTGCACCCACGTGGGAGACCTGGAGGAAGCTCCTGGCTTCAGATCAGTTCAGCTCTGGCTGTTGCACCCACTTGGGGAGTGAAGCAGCTGATGTAAAATCTTTCTCTCTGTCTCTCCTCTCTACAAATGTCTTTTTAATAAAAATGAATAAATCTTTAAAAAAGAAAATAGGATAGAGTTAATTTCCGCCAGACCGAAATATTTTTTAACTGAGTACAAATTTGGGTCCCAATTCTGCTGGTGCTCTGGGTTAGTGCCTTTCTTACGGACTCATTTGCTTCTTTGATGAAGATGCATGAACTTCAAACTTCAGTTTTATGTCTAGAACAGTTAACCACCTAGCTATTGATATCCCTCTGAGTTGAGATAAATGCAATGAACCCAAACGGAATGTGTTAGAAAACATTTAGGCTACTTAGATTGTGAAAGCTCAGTGTTGATTTTGAAAAGGAATTGGCTGTGGTCCGAGAATAACTATTTATTTAACCCAGCTAACCTCTGCTTCGAATGGGTTGTGCTGATCGTGTTGGGTAGTTTCCAAAATGCTTTTCATTTGCATATTTCGGGTTGCAAATAAGAGGTTTTCTATCGGTGGACAATAGGAGACTCACATTTTCCTTCTCTTTTCTTGCACCGTTGTTTGGCAGCTCAAGATAAGTGTGCTGCTGGAGCTCATGGGTGCCAGCACCTTTGTGTGAATGACAGAGACGGGTCCCATCACTGCGAGTGCTACGAGGGCTACGCTCTCAATGCAGATAAGAAGACGTGTTCAGGTAAGCTCCGTGCAGCGAGCTCTTTCTGGTCATTTCCGGGGCAGTGGAGCCAGCGTGCCAGGAGAGAGGTGCTTCAAGGGAATGGGATCAGATACCCTCCCATGCTTGTGGATGGAAGCACTTCCTGCCCAGAGGGTGCTGAGCCCAGTGGGGTTTGCAAACATAGGTCTCTTCCGAAAATGACTGAGAAATGGGTAAAAACTTGTTGCTCTGCACACTGGGGACTCTTGAAGCCAATGGGATTTTTCAGAGGAAGTCGGTTGGACAAGAACCACTTGGTGTGATAGGCGGAACTGATGGCTTTCCAGTGAAAACTTGGCCTGGAACTCTGCTGCAGCATTCATCTTAAAGCTGACTCGTTTTAGCAAAGGAGACTTTGTGAAGGCCTGAATTAGACCCACACAGATGTTCCAGGAAATCTACAGCGAGTCATTCCCTGACGTTTCTACATGATTAGTCTTGGTGAAGCTGAGCCTTATGATTCGGCTAAGCAGCCAGCGCCAGGACTGCTAATCCTCATTAGTTTGATTTAAACTCATTGGCAGAACAGGGTGGATTTATAAATGGAACAATGTGCCTAAGAGAAATGACCAGTTCTTGAGGTGGTGTTTTAGACTTGGCGTACTTTTTAGATTTGATGTATTTTTTCCTCTTCCTGAGCAGACAGTCCTGTGTCCCAGGATCTTGTCAACACAGAGGAGGGATATAACACATCCCCACTCCCTTTCTTGGAAAATGTAGTCCGTGCATATTGAGTAGCTTTGTGCCCCGGATTGCACCAAGCACTGTGAGGACTGACAGAAGTATAAATCACAGCCCAGGTGCCAAGAACCAACTCCTCCAGAAAGCTGAGAGTAAGGAGCTAAGAAGCTGAGGGTTGTGGAGTGTGGAGAGACTGGGAGGAACCCGGGCGGTGGGACTGGAGTGGGCGCTGAGAGGTGGCAAAGCTTTTGATCAGAGAGGAGAGGCAGGCTAGGGGCTGAGAGCATGGGGCAGGGACTGGCTTGTGCGGGACCTAGTCCCAGGTAGCTGCAGCCACCACTCCCGAGGGCCTAGTTTAGGGCCTGTGTAGTCCTGGGCATCTGAGATGCATTCATCCCTTTAATCCTTGCAGCAGCAGCTTTAGGAGGCAACTGAGGCACAGACAGGTTGAGTTACCCTGTATCAAATATTTTTAAATAGTGAATAACTGTTCTAAAGCTGAGGCATCTCCCATGAGTCTCACCATCCCTCCTGGCCTGCTTTATCTTGGTGTGTGGCAGGAAGGCTTGTGAATTAAATGTGGAGCTCCAGCACAGTTGAGGGGTTGGAAGCCCTTCCTGTGGTTATCTGTAGGGCAGGCACTAAGCTAGGGTGTGAGGAAATGAGGCACTATTCTACTAGGAGGCATTTTGCTGGACACAATCTAAATGGTCATGATGGTGACCCATGTTAGGGTTGGAAAGGTGCTTTTTTGCACAGAACCTTGCACCTTACATGAAGCTGTTCTACGGACAATAGGGAGCCATGGGATGCAGTGGCAAAGGAAGAGGTTGCGGCTCCCAGGGAATCTTTTGAGTTTTCCTTAAGGGGAACTGCTGCGTTCGCTTGTCCTAGGTCAGATTGCACAAAGGGCTGGTCTGGCGCTTAGCCCTGGACAGCACTCAGACTGGGGCCAACTGCCTTCTCTTTGACAGATTATGTCCTTGTGGTAGACAATGTGCACTTCCTTACCAGCCGTGTCCATCATGGTTGTTAATATCATTAACACTGTGATCATTTTTCTCCCTGTCTGTGGGTGTGTCTGTGTGCTTGTGAGTATCTCCAGGCCCACGTTCTCTGTCCTACTTTGTAAGCCATCAAGAGCAGGCCCTAGCACAGCAGTCTGTCTGCTCAGCCTTGAACTTAGCTCCCCGTACAATTAGGTAAATTACTTGTGGTGGTGGCGATGACAGCCCACGAGTAGCTGCTGATGTTGGAGATGGTGATAGTTCCCAGGAAGGCAAAGGTAAGTGCTGGAGGAGAGAATCGAACCCAGGGGCCCTGTATGTTAGGAGGAAGAGGAGGCAGCCTCAGATACCCGCAAGAGAAAGGAAGGCAAGGGGTGTCCGTGACAGTCAGCGAGGCCAGGGGAGGTGAGACGTGGCAAGGAGAACTTGGGGCTGATGTGCTGTCCTTCAAAGGGCTTGTCCTTGGCCCTCGCTGGCACTAACCTGAAGCTTTGTTCTCCCAGAAGTCTGCGATGTTCTCTCCCGGGCTAACTGTGTCTGCTCTCTTCTCTGTGCCTCTCCTGACCAGTGCGAGACAAGTGTGCTCTGGGCACTCATGGTTGCCAGCACATCTGTGTGAGCGATGGCACGGCGTCCTACCACTGCGATTGCTTTCCTGGCTACTCCTTGAATGAAGACCAGAAGACGTGTTCAGGTGACAGTGGGCCCTGCACAGCTGGGAGTGAGCACAGCTGGGAATGAGCACAGCTGTGGCCTTCTCTCGGTCAGCAGCTCCAGGGGTTCCCAGGTGGCTCCAGATAAAGCGAGGATCTGAGACTGGATTTTATTCTTATTGTGGTAGAATAGACACACATCAGCTTTACAGTTTTGATCATTTTTAAGCATATTGTGAGGTGGCTTTAGCTACATTCAGTGGTACAAAATTGTCAGCATCTATCTCCAGGATTTTTTCATTGTGTCAAACTTTGTATCCATTTAATAATTGCTCATTCCCCACTGTCCCAGCTCCTGGTTATACTGTTCTGCTTCACCTTCTTGCAGAAACTTCTTTTCTGTTCTATTTGTCCTGAGATCTGTGGTGCTGCTCGACATTCCAGGGACTTTTTGATCTCATCAGACTGTCTGACATTCCCCATCCTTGCTCCGTCCGCCTTTGGCTGTGATCCACTTCCCTCACCTGCTTAAAAAGCCCAAGGACCGCATCCTTTTGTTTTGCTGGATTACATACTTACCTGTCCAGTTGTTCTCCAGTTGCTTGTTTCTAATGAGGTATTTTGAGTATTAGTCATGAAGTTCCATGTCTGGAAACACTACCTAGGTCTTTTTGTTTACATTTCCCACTGGATTATTTGTGTTTTTCTTGGTGATCCACAGCAACCTTTCACATTATGACTTCTTTGCTGTTTTTATGTGTTGCAAACATCCCATTTATTGTACTTATCTTTTTCCTTTTAAATATAGTGTTCCTTTTGCCGTATCTGGTTTTTATTCTTCAGTTGGGCAGCAGGTTTACTAGTGTTTATTTTTTTAGCCCTTTGAATCATTTTTTTGGAGTTATTTATTTTGATAATCTTTACATGGTTAATTAGGGCACAAAGGTTCCAGGGCTATAGCAAAGTGGGTAAGACTATTATTTCCACATTCTCTGTTTTTTCTGTATCTAGGGTAAAGGGGGAGATAAACGGAGAGACCCCACTCAACCTCCCGCTCAGCCTCCCACCCATCCCAGGTCCCCAATGTGGGGCATGCTCTGAGGGTCTTGCTCAAGTGGTTTTGATAGTTCAACAGTTATGAATTGCTGCCAGTCTTGCCATTCCAAGTACAATGAAGTTGCTGCAGAATCCACTGACTGACGTAGTCCATCTTAGTAGTGTTTATTTACATGTCTCATAGCATCTATGTGTCCTAGATCTAAGTTGCTTTTCATAAGTCAAAGATTCCAAAAGGAGGTTTGTAATTTGAACTTCCAGCTGGCTTCATTTCTATCTCCTTTTTCTGCTACTCTTCTATTGAATTTCCTCTTTCTCTCAGCACAGAATATGATGTTCTAGTTCCTTCACTCATTTCTTTTTCCATTCAGTTCATATTAGAATACCTACCACGCTTTGGGCACTAGCACAGAACGCTGGGAGAGCAGGGGCACATGAGCTCACTTCCGTGGGAGAGGGTCTCCCAGAGATGGCTTACGAGAGCTGGGGGAACTAGTGGGGAGGCTGGTGTTTAGAGTGCTGGGGCAGACGGTCCCGTGTGGTATCTGTGCATGCGTGGAGAGGCAGTGCAGGTGCTCTGTGTGATGGGAGTACAGGCAGTCGGAGCAAGTGTGGGGAGTTGGGCAGGCAGGGGCCTTGTCATGCTGTCTGGGCCCTGGGGAAAGGAGTTGGTGTTTTATCTCAAGGGCTGCGGGGAGCCACTGGGAGGGCTTTAGAGGTGAATCAACAATGTTGTCTCTGTTTTGAAGTCACTCCAGCACCTGTGTGAGGAGTGGACTGGGGAGGATGGAAAGCTGGAGGGAAAATGGCCGGGAGGCTGTTGCTGTGGTCTGGCCGGAGGCAGGCTGCGCCAGGGCTCCTGGAGGGAGACTGATCTGTCGTTAGGTGGGATGCATGGAGCTCACCTGGAAGCTGGTACATGAGGGAAGGAGTGGGGCAGGGTAAGGGTGCCTGCTGGACTTCAGCTTCCAGCTATTGGAGGATGAGGTGCCTTTACTGAGATGGTGAAGACAGGCCAGGTGGGATGGGGAGAAAGGGTCAACCATTCAGTTTCGCACTTCTGTGCAGTTTTTAATAGCTTGCTCAATTTTATTTGAAGAGAAGTGAGAGATTGAGAATCTTTTATCTGCCAGTCACTCTCCTGTGCCAGGAACTCCATCATTCTGGTCAAGTGGGTGGCGGGGGCCCAAGGACTTGACCATCTTCTGTGTCCCCAGGCACATTAGCAGGGAGCTGCGCTAGAAGTGGAGAAGCCAGGGTTTGAACTGGCACTCTCATACGGGCTGCTGGGGATGTAAGTGGCTGCTTAAACTTTTGCACCACAATGCCTACTCTTCTTGTTTAAACAAAAAATTTGTTGAAATGTAATTTACCTACCATACAATTTACTTTTTTAAAAAAAGATTTATTTATTTTTTTATTGGAAAGGCAGATGTACAGAGAGGAGGAGAGACAGAGGAAACTCTTTCATCCAATGATTCACTCCCCAAGTGAGCGCAACGGCTGGTGCTGCGCTGATCCAAAGCCAGGAGCCAGGAACTTCTTTCCGGGTTTCCCATGTGGGTGCAGAGTCCCAAAACTTTAGGCCGCCCTTGATTGCTGTCCCAGGCCACAAGCAGGGAGCTGGATGGGAAGTGGAGCTGCCAGGATTAGAACCAGTGCCCATGTGGGATCCTGGCGCATTCAAGGCGAGGACCTTAACCACTACGCTATGGCGCTGGGCCCACAATTTACTGTTTAAAGTACATTTCAGCAATTGCAGTGGTATTTTTAAAATACATCGATAGAGCCTCACTATCGTCACCTCTAACTTTGGAAGATTTTTATTATGATAATGAGAGACCTACACTGTATTGACAGTCATGGCCCAGTTCCTCCTAACCCCCAGAGCCCGGCGAGAACTAAGTGTGTCTGAGTGGATTACCCATTCCAGACATAGAATATTATGTGATTGATGGTTTTTCTCTCCTATTCTGGGGGCTTATCTTTTCACTTTCTTGAAAATGGCCTTTGAAGCAAAAAAGGTTTTCAATAACGTCCAGTTTATTCTTTCACTGGTTGCGTTTGCTTTCTGGTATCCCTAAGAAACAGTTCAGCAGAGGCGAGGTGAGTCTGTTCTCCTCCCTTGGTTTTAAATCTTTTTATTTAGGACTGTGTTTTGAGTTAGTTGTTGTGTGTGTATGTGTGTTTTAAGATTTATTTATGTTTTGTTGGAAAGGCAGATATACAGAAAAATCTTCCATTCACTGGTTCACCGCCCAAGTGGCCGCTATGGCCAGAGCTGAGCCGATACAAAGCCAGGAGCCGGAAGCTTCTTCCGGGTCTCCCACATGGGTGCAGATCCCAAGACCTTGAACCTGCTTTGCTAGACTGTAAGCAGGGAGCTGGATGGGAAGTGGAGCATCCAGGATGTGAACCTATGCTTGTATGGGATCCCGATGCGTTCAAGGCGAGGATTTAGCCACTATGCTACTGCACTGGGCTCATTGTTGTTTTTAAACATCTGAGATCTGAGTCCAGGTTCATTCCTTTGCCTGGAGCTGTTCAGTTATCCAAGCATCATTTGTCAAAAAGACCATTCTTTATCCCTTATTATATTGATATACTCGTTGTAAAGCAATTGAACATCAATGTAAATTTACCTCTGAATCCTCTATTCTTTTCATCAATCCAGTACCACACTCTCTGTTATTGGGGATAATTTATGACAATTACGAAGAAAGAGAATAATGTAATAATCCTCATGTAACCATCAAGTGGTTCTGACAAACACATTTCCCCAGCGTCTCCTGATACAAAATTTTTCTGTGGTATTCACTTTCCAAAGGATTCTCTCCTGTTTTGCCCTATATCCTTTTGCCTCCTGGAAAATGCCTTTAGCTAAGTCATGCAAATAGAAACGCTGCGTGTGGGTGTTGCAGCACAGTGGTATAAGCTACATCCTACATTGGAGGGGCTGGATCAAGACCCAGCTACTCCAGGGTTCCCATCGGGCTTCCTGCTAATGTGCCCCGGAGGTGGCAGATGATGACCTATGAACTTGGGGCTCTGCCCTGGATGGAGTCCCCATCTACTGACTGGCCTGGTGGAGCTCTGGCTCTCGTGGGCATTGGGGTGTTTGACAGCACATGGAAGATATCTTCCTCTCTGCTACTCCTTCAGATATGCGTCCTTCAAAATGAAAAATATTGAATTGTGGGGTTCTTGATCTGTTGTATTTCCCAGACAGCTCTAACGTTTTGTGTGCTATCCCTATCTTTAGCTGTTGAAGAAGTTCGGAGTCCCATTTCCATGGAAGATGCCTGTGGATGTGAAGCCTCGGTGGCGTTCCAGGAGAAGGTTAGCTCCTATCTTCAGAGACTCAACACCAAACATATCCTTTCTGGAAAGTTTTACGCTTCTGCTTGAAGCCAAACTGGTTACTACAACTGAGCCCAATATTTTCTGACAGTCCACAGGCAAGTGTCCTATGGTTAAGTTTTAGGACAAGTAGTAGTAATGAATAGTTTTGTTTTTTTATAGTTTTCCAGTGATATACCATTTTTATTCATTTAATACTTATATGTAAGAGCTTCCCAACTCTTTCCCTAAAGCTAGATCATTTAGTTCTTTTGTATGCTTTCAATTAAGCCCCCTCCCCTTTTTCTGGTAAAGATGAGTGGGCTATACTATAATTCTTTAATAGGGCTTTCTTGGTTTGTAATTTGTATATACACAGAATAAATCAGCTTATTAACGGGGTCTGGTATCCAGATTACAGAGTTGCTCACTGTGGCTTGTAAAGTGATCAAAAGGCAGATTCCAGTATCTAACAGAGACTTTCAAAATTCTCTAGTCAAAGAAACAATTTGGGAGAAGTATTTTTTTTATAGATTTGTTATCAGCAACGGCTGCTCGTTTACGCCTCAGAGGAATGGGACCCATAATGTGGGAGAAATAACCTAGGAATATCCAAAGACCGGGGTGCACAGTCTTAAAGGAACCCATTTCCAAATCCTTCACTTGCTCATGATGCTAATTGAAACCAACTGGCCTTCTGTTTCCCCATCTCCCCGCTCAGCGTCATCATTCTCTTCGTGTTTTTCAAGAAAGGCATCCCTTTCACTCACCCTGAACTACTGAGGTGCACTCCCCGGGAAAGTAAGGTATCCAGGAAGCAAAGGAAGAAACAGTGCCATGACTCCTTTCATCCGAACTTCATCAACGTCATTGCTCCACTTACCCCTACAAAGACGTGACTTGCAAACTAAATTTTATGTGACCAAAAACATTTTTTTTTAAATTTCTAAGTCAAAGCATTTTTAATCACACTTTGCATTTTAACATTACATGACAAAATATAATTTCCAAACAATACTGAGAACATAGAGATTAAGAAAATTTGCTCATAGTGTTCAAACCCTTTCAGAAATTATCTTATAGCTACAAACATTTAGGCTGCATCATCACATTTTACATATCATTTAAGATTTTATCATCCATTAAAGAACAACACTAAAAAATCTGATTGTACTAATTTCCAGATTTTCTGTTCCACTAACCTCCAAAACCATTGTAGAGCTAAATAGGAGCAAGAAAACATTTGAAGTCACTGTGGTGCTTTAATTTTATCTTGAGCTCTGAAAATTAGAATTTTAAGCTTTAGATTAAGTTACGCCAGCAGTGAGAAAGTCTTGCTCTTTTTTTTCCCCCCACTTACAATAAGATGTTAACTATTTTATTTTGAAGTTTTTGCAAGCGTTACATTTTATAACCTCTAATGATAAATAGTGTTGCCTTAACAACTACCCACTGGATGGCATTTTGGAGAAGTTGCAAGGAAATGAATATGGACAAATGCATCGTTAAATTGCTCAAAAGTTTCATCTGGAAATGTGGAGTGAGTGGTGCACTCAGCACTCATTCTCTTCAGTGTTCCTGCTAATAATTTGCTTTTATAAATGCTTGAACATTACTGGATACATAGTATGAGCATCTTCTGAAAACCAGTGTCCTTTTTCCAAGCTAGTAAACTCTTTATTAAGAGCAACTCTTGGTGTCTCTGTGCTACAACTGTGAAATGTTTGGAAGGAAAGAGAGTAAAAAGTTTAGTGTCTCTTTCTTTATCTACTAATGGAGCCATTTAATTTTTAAATGTTTATATTAGTAAGATAAACATCTTCACCATGGAGACTTTAGATCTGTTTTCTCTTGATAGTATTTATAATATGAACCAGTTTAGTTACTGAGAATGCAAATTATACATGAAGAGACTCATATAGTTACATTGAAATGAATATAATTGAGAATTTTTTAAATATTTTAGGCTTTTGCGTATTATTGAAGTGATGAAACGATTGCAATATGCATGTCTAAAAGTGGATTACAAGATCAAGCGACTATCACATGCCACTTTCAATCATTCAGGTCTTAGAAATGTAGACGTGAACAGCATTAGTATGAATTTAGGGTTTTAAGCTTTTAAAAATGACAAAATCTACAAATCTATTTTGATCAATTTGCCTTATTAAGAAAATTGTGTATTTATAAAGTTTCTGTAACAAGCAATAAAATTTAATGTTGCCTTTGAAATGTCAGTGAGAAGCCATTCTGCCTTGTATCTGGTACCTCTAACTTTTGGAACAAAACAGTCCTTTAAATTGTGTCCTAGGTTTGTACAGTCTTTAATAAAAGTTACTATCTTTATACATTGTTGTCATGTTTGCTTTATGATGACATATAAGCTTTCTTAAGCCTGTTTCCTTAAATTAAATTGAATTGCTCATTGTTTTGAATATATAGCCATTTGTTGTCGAAGGAGAGATTATGGAGACTCTTCCTATAATTTAATATCATCATCCTGATGTTAAAATGCAAGTTTGGGATAAATAAAGATTTTTTAAAAAGATTTATTTAATTTTTATTACAAAGTCAGATATACCGTGAGGAGGAGAGACAGAGAGGAAGATCTTCCATCCAATGATTCACTCCCCACGTGGCCGCAATGTCCAGTACTGCGCTGATCTGAAGCCAGGAGCCAGGAACCTCTTGCAGGTCTTTCACACGGGTGCAGGGTCCCAAAGCATTGGGTCCTCCTCGACTGCCCTCCCAGGCCACAAGCAGGGAGCTGGATGGGAAGTGGAGCTGCCAGGATTAGAACCGGCGCCCATATGGGATCCTGGCGCATTCAAGGCGAGGACTTTAGCCACTAGGCCACACCACTAGGTCCTAAATAAAGATTTTTATTGTATGTGTATATTGTAAATGAATTTAATGTAAATCTTGAAAGGCAAGCATAACCTATAGATGTAAACTTCAAATATATATATATTTAAAGAAGAAATGAAAAATAAACCAAGGCAGTGTGTATTCTATGAAACTTTTGTTATTATGTTTCAAAATTTTTTCAGGTATGAGCTAGAGTTAGAATATTATTTTCCAAACTTACTTGAACACAAAATCAGTAATATATATATATTACTGTGGCCCCAGAGTGGCAGCCCAGTGACTAAATCCTTGCCTTGCAAGCCTGGGATCCCATATGGGTGCTGGTTCATGTCCCAGCTGCTCCACTCCCCATCCAGCTCCCTGCTTGTGGCCTGGGAAAGCAGTAGAGGACGGCCCAAAGCTTTAGGACCCTTACCGGCATGGGAGACCTGGAAGAGGCTCTTGGCTCCTGGCTTCAGATTGACTCAGCTCTGACCCTGTAGCCACTTGTGGAGTGAAGCAGTGGATGGAAGATCTTTCTCTCTGCATCTCCTTCTCTCTGTAGATCTGCCTTTCCAATAAAAATAAATCTTAGAGTAATATATATTACTGTATCAGAGCAGTGGTGGAATACAAGGGACAAACGAGAGCTCATGTACAAGCAGGCAGGGAGAGATGCGCCTGGCTGGCTTCACCTAGTGACATCTGACCAGCTAACTAGAAAACCTGCGCTGGCAGGACACTGATGGGTTTCCCCAGACAGTGCAGGGAGCCTATGAACAGGTGTCAAGTATTTTAGGTATTTACAGCTAAGTGCTGGAAACACAAAGATGTCAGCGACTGGCAGGAGGTCAGGATTGGGATTTGGCCCTCACAGGGTTAGGAAGGGCAGGGGCTACATAGACGTCTGGGGAGGAGGGCGTGGCAGAAGGCTCTATGGGCAGCACAGAGCTCAATGGCAGCCCAGGAAAGGCACTGCAGGTGGCAGTGAGAACAGATGTCACTGGCGAAGCAGAGGGACCATGCTCAATCCCAGAACGGTGGGGATGCCACAGACTCAGGTCAAGAGATTGGAAGATCACTTGAGATGGGGAAAGATTTCAAAAGACAGGCTAGCTTACACAGCTGCAGTTCAACAGTGCCGACCGCAAACTTTGGTAAGAACCTCTCAGGCTTCTAAAAAGGACAAAAGAAAATGCGGAAACAAGAGGAGGAAGAGAAAGACATAGGATATGCAAACAAGGTAAGAAATTACTGAAGAGCTGAAATATTTTCAAGTGGGAGGCTGTTCCCTACTTGTAGTCCCGCGTATTCCTTTGTAAGGATGATTGGGGCTGCGGCAGCAGCTTACTTAAAGAGAAAAGAAAAATCCTATATAAAGTTTTAAAAAAATTCCCTAAACAATAAACAAAGTGTTCTAATTCCGAATTGCTACGGAAGCTTCTGCGAGCAAGGTCTGGAAACGCATGCCTGCCCTCCCCGGGGTCGGCGGCCGGGTCTATCCCACTGAGTACAGGGAGCAACTCCTCAGGAGTGAGGGGATGGTGGGGCTTCCAGAACGATGCTCTGAACCTCGCCGGGATGGGCGCCTCGCCTCCTCAGTGACACCGACAGCTCACGACACCCCGCGGGAGACTGGGAGGTCATTGGGCGGCAATGGCAGATCGCGAGCAGCTGGGGCAGAAAGCAAAATGTTTAGAGGCGAGGGGACCCGCCCTGGCAGCCGCTCGCACCCCAGCCCCATGGTTCCAAGGCTCACCGATGTCTGCGCAGGCGCACAACACCCGGAGTGGGACTCCAGGGAGACACCGGAAGTGTCTCTCGCCGCCCCGGATGCGGCCGAGTGGCGGCGGTTGCCAGGGCGACGGGAGTTTCTTCTAGGCGCTGGTCCTGGCGCCTGGAGACGTAGACCTGCTTTTGCTGCGGCGGGCCTAGGCGGCGGCCGTCATCCTCCCGCGGTTCCCAGGATGTTCTTCTACCTGAGCAAGAAAGTGAGTTTTCCAGTGGGCGCCCTCGCTTTTCCCTCCCTTCCGGCTGGTTGCAGGCGATTCCCGCATCCTTCCCACCAAGCCTTGGAGTCTCCCGAACCCCCAACCCTCCTAGCGGCCTCGCCATCCCTGTGCCAAGCTTCCAGCTGTGTCCAACCTTAGACCTCCCCCCTGTGGGTCCCAGAGCGGCAGCTGGTCCCTGTCCCGGGTTTAACCCTCCGCCGGACTCTCCTGTCCGCGGCTAGGTCCCTGTGGGTGGTCAGCAGGACGAGTCATCCGCCAGGTGCTGCTCTGGCTTCCCCCCTCCACTTGTTGCAGATGCGGGCGATTTAAATTCTTGGATACATAGTGGGCCGCTAGGCAAGAGAGAGAGAGAGAAAAAGAAGTGGCCTACGTTTTGTGTGGGGAAAGAAACAAACGGATGGAAGCAATTACGCCCCGTCAGTACCATTCCAAAACCCCATCCCGCTACACCCTCCCGTGGGCTGCCTCCGCGCCCCTGGCCATACCCCTGTGAGCGCGTTTCTTCCCAGTTTCCCTATTGGAAGAGGCAGGGTAGCTCAGCGGACCGTGGCCATGTTCTTTTTTCTTGCAAAGCCAGGCGTTTTTCTTCCTGCAAGATCCCCGCCCCCCCATCTTCATCTCTAGCAGACTTCTAGATCTCTCTGGTGAGAAGTTGGCTGTGGTTGCCTTTACAGATCGCCATTCCTAACAACGTCAAGTTGAAATGTATATCCTGGAACAAGGACCAAGGATTCATAGCCTGCGGGGGTGAAGATGGATTAGTCAAAGTTTTGAAATTGGAGACACAGACGGGTAGGTGAATGTGGGCCCAAGTGCTGGAGGCTGGCAGGAAGTCTGTTGGTGTCACTGGCACTGTGAAATTTGATCGGGGGTATTTGTCAGTTACAGAGTTCTGATTTCTTTTAAAAGGAATGCAAACCTGAACATTGCCTGATGTTTTTTCTGAAGTGTTTGTGCGGTAAAGTTCAGACGATGTTACGTGTAAGGGTTGCATGGCTCTTGCTTAAGTTACTGATGGAATATGGAAAAGCATGAAAGAAAACGGAGTGGTTATATTGTCTGGCATCAATCTCATTGTTGTCCTGAGTGGCTAGAAGTGCAGTAAACATGTTAGCATCTGTTACCTGTCGGATGTGGTCATGGCCATGCACCTGGCGCAGCAAGAACAGATGATGGAATGGGCTTAAGATTTTTGTGAATGAGCAGGTTTTATACTTCTCAGGCTCCCCATTGTGGCTCCAATTTGGGGGTCCAGGTACTCCCTTGCGCAGTGTGGAGGAGGGCTAAGGAGGGTGGCGTGGTGCTCTCTGCTCTGCCATGAGACTGCTGAGTGACTTTGAGCAGGCTACTGGATGCCTGCAGACTTCACTTCCTGGCTTTTGTGAAGTGAGGGGTTCCGCTGCAGGAGCCTTGGGACTCCTGGCATCCTTGCCTCCGAGTTGTTACTGGGCATAAGACTTGGCAGAGGAAGTTTGTTCAAGTCGACTCGGGATGAGGCCTAAGAGCTTGCCTTTCTAGTGATGCTGCGTTGCTGGTCCTCAGACCACAGTTTGAGAAAGACTACCTTGTCGCTTTGGCCACGGTAGCAGTCACGACCACTGCTTGACTGTTTCTCTATATTGGATGTTTTAACTTCACAATTTCATTAGATTTTACTGGAAAGAAAATTGGGGCTCTGATGTAGTTAATGACTTACCTGTGATCACATAACCTGTAAAGGGGGAGCTGGGAGGCTCATGGACAGCATAAGCAAAAAAGATAATATTTGTTTGGATGTCTTGGGTTAAAGATATGAAACAAAGGACAAGATTGGATGATGTAAGTACCAAGTTAAATTTGGCTTTTGATGTTTTTGTAGTTCAGAACCTCAACACCGTAGTTTTCTTAACTGTATTAAATCCAAACTTTCTCTGCTGTGTTTCTTAGATGTTTATAAAGTCTCGGGGGTCCCTCTAGTGGGAACTGGGACTCGAGGTGTGAACCATGCTGAGAATAGAGAGACAGGGGATGCCGAGGCAAGATGAACCAGTGCACACTTTATTGAGTTACACTGGGCAACTTGTACCATAATTTTTGCAGGGCGTGCAGGCAGATGAAAGTTACTAGTTCCCTGGACAGTAGCGTACAAGCTACTCTCACAGCAGATCACAAGGGATTTGGAAAACAGTCACCGGTCTCAGGCAACAGGATAAGTAAACATGAGCTACAGGGACCAATACTAGTAAACAAGCAGATTTAACCAGAAAGAGGAATCTAACAGAACTTTGTACTCAGAGATGTTTAGGCCACAATCACTCAAAAAAAAAAAAAAAGGAAGATGATAAAGACATCACACTTCTCCAGGCACGTTTAACCAGCAAGGTGGCCTGCAGTCTCCACAGGAAGTC